GAGAGAGAGTGGGGTAGGCCAAACAGCAAGTCTTCTCACAGACAACCAGTGGGGATGTCCTTGGGTGGCAACCCTATGCTGGTCCTAAGTTGACATGGTTACAATAATAAACAAACAGCATACCAGGTTTAGGCAAAAAAAACTACTTGGTTTGATTCATGGAAAGATGATGTTTGGGTTAAAATAAGTACTTAATACAATAATAAGTTACTAACTAACTGACTAACTAGTTAAAAATAATTATAGGTGTAATAACAACTGAAAACGGCCATTTAATTTTGGGATAATATTCAAAGCAGGTGCTTGAAGCCACATGAGAAGCCCCGTCAGTGTGTTCATTGGTTAAATGTGTCTGGACTGGGAGTGAAGAAGGTTTTGACAAACATTCATATGTGTGGTTGACTAGTGGAGTTTTACCAATGCATTACTGCCATGCTAGAATAAGATGTAAAACAACAGGCCTTCATTCAGTACAGTTTAGGTTTAACCAACACAAAACTTCTGGTGCCCAGCAATGAAAATACACAAACATTAAACACAGACACACAGACATTTACCTTCAACCTTTCTGACAAGTGCAGAACTAAAGCCTAATCTTGTCAACGGTGACTTCAGAAGGTAAGGAATCTAACCTAATCCCAAGTAAAAGACCACAGTGTACACACACACACACACGCACGCACACACACACACACACACACACACACACACACACACACACACACACAGTTCTTCTCTCTAGAAAATACAAGCTTATTTGTCATAGATAAGCAGTGAAGAGAGGAAGCTGGGGAGTGTCCACCTCAACCTATACCCAGGATATGTATTCAGTTGAGAGTCAGTGTATGTGAGCATAGCAAATTACTTTTCCACAGTGTGTATCCTGTCACAGTACAGTGTATCTGTTCTGCCCAGAATAAAGTAGCTCTTCCTTTGGAGGTGTTTATGCAGTGGAACAACAGCTCTGTGAGTTTACAATTTATTCCTCACAGCCTTCCACACTCACTCTCCATTCTTTTCACTTGTGTCCTGCAACATTTCACTTGCCTTCCTGTAATTCAACACACTTCTGTCACTTAAAAATGAATAACTTCACCATTATTTATGTTCTGAAATAATAATATACACTCACTTTATTAGGAACACTTGTGCATCAACATATTTTTTTGGGCTTTTTTTTATGCCTTTATTTGGTAGTACAGTAGAGAGACAGGAAATGGGGAGGCAGAGAGAGGGGGAATGACATGCAGCAAAGGGCCGTCCAATGCGGGACTCGAACCGGGGCCAACTACAGCGAGGACTGTAGCCTCTATACATGGGGCACCTGCTTAGACCACTACGCCACTCGACGCCCTGTGTCAACATATTTTTATAATTATCCAGTTAATCATGAGAGAGCAGTGAATAAAATCATGTACATACAGGTCAGGAGCTTCAGCTCATGTTCACATCAAACATCAGAAGAGGGAACAATGTGATCTAGTCACTTTGACCGTGGCATGATTGTTGGTGTAATTTTCTGAAACTGCTCATCTCCAGGATTTTCACACTCAACAGTCTCTAGAGCAATGGTTCATTTTACAACCCATGTCCCATATATGACCCCATAACAATACAGAGGCCAAATAATAAATTCTAATACGTTCTTTTTATGATAACAATCAAAAAGCTAACAGCTCCCAGCAATTTTAGGCTAATTGAGGGACATCCAGTAGGATCATGCTTCATGTCACAAACTGGTTTCATCAACATGACAGTGAGATTAGTGAACTTCAGTGGCCCCCCATTCTCCACACTAAGTGCTCTCTGTATCTATATTAATAGAAATTTGAACCCTGTTCCAATTATGTTTCCAACAAAACGTATTTGCTGTTGCACTTTACTTGTATAGGAATGTAATATATATTGGCACACTTACTAGAATAGTGTCAACAAATCCTATGTGGAGACCCAAACCATCAATTAATATATCCTAACTGTTGTGTGTGTATCCAAAGCCTCTGAATCATATAGCTCTATTGTTGTTCAAACACTCTTTAAAACACATCACTGAGTCACACTGTTGCACTGGGTGATATATTGATGACAAGTACTGAGAGACAAGATAAACACAGTGTGGTTTTGTTCTTTTTATAGTATTTGTTGGCAAGAACAAAACAATATGACTGTTTTATCCTATAAGTTTGTATTCATATTTGTGACTGTTAAAATATAGTTTTAAGTGATAAATAAGTCTGCACAAATGCTGCATTTCCACACGACAATAACACATTACATCTGATATAAATGAGGCCAAACGTTTATAAAACTGAAACAAGTATCAAATGTTGATTGATTTTCATACCAAAAACATAAATGAGTGGAAACCAGCAGCAGTCTGAAATGGTTTCATTAAACTATGTGCAACCAAAATTGTTGACTCTATTTGCATGGAGGTGTGGTGTGCCTGGTGGTTGTGATTGTATCACATTGTCACATACTGACTAAAAGTGAGACAAAGAGATTATCATATCATATGTGGATGATAGCAAACATAAAAAAGATTTTTGTTTGCACAAAATGTTATTTTTTCTTGCATGACAAAAATTTCTGTGTTTGAAAAAAATCTCCTGTACTCAAAAAGTTGCATCATGCACTGAGGAATGAGGCACAAATGTAACATAATACATATTATTTGTTAGCTTCTCTGGATATCTTTGCTTGATGCAGTTCACTGTGTTATGGGGAATTATGGTGTTTTGAGGACAAGTTGTGCAGCAGAGGTCCTCCTTTATATGTGTGGCCTGTTCGCCTGTTAGAAGTAAGTGATAGTTGATGAGACATGCAAGTGTTAATTTGTTTCACACTTTTTTATACCCTAGCTGGACTCCTGTTCTGCCTCAAGCCACTAAACTTGCTTGCCTCCACAGATCCAGCCTCCAGACTTAAACTCCAAGTGTTATAAGGTCATCTGATTCCTTCTGACGCCCCCCCCCCCCCGTGATAATAAAGCTGTGGCCCTGCTATTAGCACCAACAGCAGATTAATCAGGAGCCCCTGGGCAGAAATCCTCTCTGGCTGGGCATGAGTAGAGCCTGGCTTATTCTGTCTGACTTCCTCTTCAGCCCTTGCACGTGTCCCCCCACTGCCTGTAGTTGGGCCAAAGGAGGACGATAGAACTTAGAGAACAAGTGTAAAACTACTCTACATTCCTAACTACCACAAATGTATCCTTGAACAAAATAGTAAGTTGTTTAAAAATCATGCACACTTATCACCCTGAAGACCCCATATTTGTGTATCATGATTTATGTGTAGGAAGTGATCACAGCTCATGGTGCTAGTGCACCTGAAAAGTTCTTTTGACCATTTAAAGCAATGCTTATCAAAACAGGAACCTCGGGCTGGATCCAGAACATATGTCACTTACTAGAATATGGGAGGATACATTTTTTGTGATAAATGTTGCATACTGCAAAGTGGCTGTGTTTGGAACCGTCTTCTTATGTACTATTCATACTAAGTGTGATGTAAAGATGAGTACGTAGTGCATTCCAACTGCATAGTATGTGAATTTTACACATGTAAGAAATACCATGATGTATACTAGATTAGCAAGGATTTTTAAGTATCACTGTGAGCATACTGGACATACTCAGCAGTCCCATGATCTTGATCTTCAAGGTACGATGGCGGGATACAAGGTGGAGGCTGGGTAGGAGGCATAACCGCAAAACACTGCTCTGGACCAGGGTGTCGCGGTACAGTACACCAACCATCTGCTCTCCCCAATCTCCAAAATTGTCACAGCAGATTTACAAACAGATGTTACTCATATAAATGGACCATAAATTATGAGTCTATACAGTAACATTCTCACATAAAAAATGTTCAAACTTTTCTGACTAAATCAGTACTCATATTTTTGTCTGATGTGAGTTTCAGATGTTTTTGGATATTGATAATTGATGACTTGTTAAATGATCTTATTGATCTGGTTTGTTTCGGAGATCAGTTTGAGTGTTTTGATAAGATATGTGAATAAATGTTACCAATAATAAAAAACATGAGGAGCTCTTAGCCCCTTTTATTTTGTTAAAGTAGCTCTCAAAGGAAAAAAGGTTGGAGATATCTGATCTAGTCCAATCACAAGTGCAATGAGAAGCTTTCTGTCAGTCCATGATGTGAAAACATTCAATGTTTATTGCTAATGCAGCAGCAAAAAAGCTATAAAACTTTACTAGGAAAATGAAAGTTAAGAACAGAGAATGAACACAGAATTGTTTTCAGAAGTCCAGCACTAAGATACAGTATATACTAACAACACAGCTGTTTGTGGAAAATGAAGGCATTGATTCATGCATTCATTGGTCACTCTAATTTTTGATGGCCAAGTTCAAGGCACTGTCAAGCAACCATGGCCATTTATTGTGGAAAGACTGTTGCTTCTTACGACTTGTGTTACATTTTTGTAGATCTGCCATTGTTTCTATAGGTTATGATAACATTATGCTCACTAACTGTAAACAAGTCACAGGTTATATAGGTTCAATGAATCACTTTATTTGAATGTGTATCAGTATGTCTGTAATAATGACTCACTGAACAGAAAACCTGTGGGGTCAGTCAAAGTTGAAGCAGGAAGTGGTTTTTATTCTGTTATGGATGTTCATAACTGATTTTACCATTCACCTTCAATTTCTCCTCCAATTAAGTTTGGAAGAGACAATAGCTAACCTGAAAGTTTCTTTCCAACCTGTCTGATCGTCTGACTGTCTGTCAGAAATTCAAAATATAAAACATCAGTGTTGCCCAGTTGTGGCACTGAATACACACACAATACCTGTTAGTATGGTAAATTCATTGCTGGTTTTGGTCTGCAAGTGGGATTTATTGACAATAAGAATAGCTGTTGCATGTGGCCTTCACATGCAATGGCACAACTTGGGTGACATCTATCTAGCTATCTGGTAAATACGTGTAGAATATTAAAAGCTCAGATGTGACAAATAGTTACCTACCTTCCCGACATATTGTGGTTCAGACCCCATGTACTCCTCCAGGACAAAGAACTGGTTCCACACCCATCCTCTTTTAACACGCTGCACCCTCGATATCCCATGTCTCCTTAGCCCTGTCCTGACTTTGAATGATGACACTTCCTCCACAGACATCCTCACACTCTTAGTCCCAGTTGCTCCCTTGGTTGACATCACTGCACCTTTAGGTCTTCTCTGGAGCTGAGCCTGCACATGGATTTGGGAGCTGTAGTCCAGCAGGAAACAAGAGCCCACCAGAAACAGAGTGACATACTCCCTTGTGATCATCAGGGAGGATTGTTGCTAAAAACAAAAGGTATTGAAAAGTTCAGAGAGCTGTCTACTTCCAGGTTGGAAATCGACATACATCCAAAGCTGGATTTGAATTCCAAAATTCCAGTATGAACCAAGATGATGACAAGTAAATCTGTTAGTGTAGTGTCCTCTCAGAAATGTGTAAGGTACCTAAGGTCATTATGTTGGGCGAGGATATTATTGACCCATTTTTGATGTTGGCGGGGGTTCCCTTGAAAGGATTGTGTTTAGAGTCAGGTTCTAGGTCTGGTTATGTGATATCCCTGTGACACTTGAAGTTGGCTGCAAACCTTGTCTTCTCTTCAATTCTTTTTCTTCAGCCCTCAACTTAGACACCTGGAGGAAAAAATGAAGTTAATGAAGTTGAGTGTGAAAGTTCATTCTTGACCAAAACAAAAAGAAGTCTTATATCAAGCAGATGATGTTTGTTTTGTTGTGTCCCAGGATGACACTTGTGCTATTTCTATGATAACTGAGCATTTTTTTAATCACAAAGTACATCAGCAATAATAATGCAGCAGTTTCAGTAGTAAGCTGCTTCATGAAATACTTATTGTAATGTATGCCATCTGACATCTGAGAGGTGATGTGAAGTGTTTACTTAGTCTGAATGATTGCTGCCATTGCCGCAGTCACCAACATATCAGGCCAAGGACCAAGGACCTCAAATCAGATCAGAGCGCTCTAATTAGAAAAGTCTTTAGCATGCAAGGTTGGCAGCCTTGCTGGATTAGTCTGTCAGCTGATGCACGTGCAGAAGGGGCTGTTTGTTTATGCATGCCACTTTTTGAGAGCATCATTATTTGTGTATTTTTTAATGGGATGATTGTATTAAATTATTGAAAACTGTACTGCAATGTTTTGTGAATGAATAGAGTGGTACATATATTTATGGCAACAATTGTTGTGAACTCAGAGACTCAGAGGCACACAGCAGACTGGGTTGATGTAAGAAGAAGAATCTTTACTGAAGCTTAAGCAGGTCACACACAGGTAAGCAGTCCAAACAGGGCAAACAGTAGCAGATCTAGCAAAGGGGAAGGGTATACAGGGAAGTATAAATCCAAAACTGAAATTGGGTGGCAGGGTGGTCGAGTGGTTAGCACTGTCGCCTCACATCAAAAAGGTTCTGGGTTTGAAACTGTTGGCCAGCCAGGGCTTTTCTGTGTGGAGTCTGCATGTTCTCCCCATGCCAGCGTAGGTTTCTTCCACAGTCCTTAGATATGCAAGTTAACTAACTGACTCTAAATTCCCTGTAGGTGAGTGTGAGTGTGAATGTTTCTTTGTCTCTATATGTCAGTCCTGTTATAGACTGGAGACCTGTCCAGGGTGTACTCTGGTGAATGTGCAAAAAGAGTCTTGTTCAGGGAGGTGACCAAGAACCCAATTCCTTTCCTTCATGATTTTAAATCTAATTCCTCATGAATTTGATAAAAAAAAAACATTATTTAGACATTACATTTCCTACAAAATAACTGTATATAAACGTAAACTTTAGGAAACAGGGTTGATTTCTGACCATACATATTTACAGTCTCCATTAACAACTACCACCAGATACAATTGTCAGTATGCCTATATGACAATTTTGTACTTCCAATACCTGCATTAAGTAATGTGACTTTCTACAATATCTGCACATGGTAACTGCTGTATGGTTAAGGTAAGAGAAAGATAAGGGTTAAGGTTAATTAACACATTACCATGAACCGAAGGTTTATGACAGGAGGCAAACTCTGCCCTGTCAGACAGGCTACACACCCATCCACCAGCCCAACCATCACACACTTTTTCCAGCAAAGTCATCATCCCAGGCCGCCCTGTGTGTAGGCTAACCCTATTTGTTAACATGACCAGACTGGTTATAAAGTTGGTCACTATGTTAATCCAGATTACAAAATAAAAAAATTGGACTGACTAACAAATATGAAAAATATGTTCAAATTTAAATATTTTTAAAACAATTTTAGCAATTGCATGTTATTAAAGGTGAAAGTGGAAGCTACATGTGCACTATATAGTCACAGCAGAAACCCAAAGTAGGCTATGAGTCAATAGGTTAGTCAAGTTGGTCAAGTTGCTTGGTGACGACGTGACAAAACAACTCGGGCCACCAGGAGATGTCATGATACTCTGCCACTGTCTTCTTCTGTCTTTCTGCCATGTTGTTCATTCATGAATGAAATACAAAGAGTTGAAGCCAAAAATGTAACCAGAATGAATAGTCTACAGGCCTCTGACTCATTAACTGTAAGATGTCAGCTGGCGCTAAACATTAATGCCAACTTTCCTCTGTTTAGTCTCGACTATAACTGGTCCGTAGTTCTCGTTTCCTTCTTGTTTCCACTAGAGTGGCAGTGTTTCTGCTGCAGCTGAAAGGAGGTGAGTGTTGTCAAGCTGGTCCACTCTTTTTATTCAGCTATCCTAAACCAGAGTCAGTATTGTGGGTAAGCCACAGATTGTTTGGTGGTGCACAAACAAAATTACTTTGAATTGACAGAAAAATCAAAGATGAATACAGAAAATCTGTTACAGAGTCAAGCGGAATAATATTGTTTCCCAAACATCCATATTCCTGTTTAGGTCATGAGAGACTTTTCTGTGCTCTGCTGCCCATTACACCGTCACATGACTAAGTTGTCATGGATCAGAGCCCCATGAAACAAGAGATGGTGAAAATGCCTCCTGGGGATGCTTCTGTGTGTGTGTGTGTGTGTGTGTGTGTGTGTGTGTGTGTGTGTGTGTGTGTGTGTGTGTATGTTCTCCAGAGAGCTGTTAGCCCAGTCTGGCATATAAATTCAAAGAGTATTAAAATAATTTTTAAAGGAAGATGAAAGTGGAATGGTGCTTCAGAGTAGATAACCTAGTTGCGGCTTTCTATGACCTGGAACAGTTGTACAATTGGTAACACCACAATTACCCTTATTTTCCCTTATTTTTTTAAATAAAAGGTGACAACCCTAAGCACAAGCTGTAACATACTGACTTTGTCATGTGTAAATCAATCACAGATAAAGAAACTGTCTGAGTGAATGATGAATGAAAGTAAGTTTTCTGTCTTTTCATCTTTACTAATTAACCATTTAATTCACTTAACAGCTCAGAGGCTACCAGCAGCTACTGGACACTTTTAAGGTGGAATGTTTTCTTATGTTTTACTCAATGCATGATTGACATTTGGAAATCAATCAATACAACTTAAATGTCAACATTTCATTTGTTGTTATTGGCTGTCTATATGACATAGACTTTAGTGATGAGCAGATATTAAAGCTCTTAAAGATATAAATAAAACTTGCAGATGGGTGTTATCAAGCTGCTTCTTCCCCTCAAGTTTATAAAATCTGTTAGAAAATGTGTTCAAACACTGTGCTCAGTGAAGATGGAGTAGGTTGAATTATTTTTTCCTTAATGTTTTTGCTCACACCAAGGAGGATTACCTGGGCAGAAACCAACATGGCACCATTTATAACACTGGTGAGCTAAACTCTCAGAAAAAATGTGCAAGACTGAAAAATATTAATAGATTTTTTTGAATTTATGAATTGATTTTGAATTGTTAGATAGAATCATGATTCTAATGTGACTCTATTTTTTTCACCTAATGAAACAAATTACAAAAAACTTGAGGATAACCAAACCTCACAAGATCTCAGCAGAGATGTGGTTGATCATCAGATCCAGTATTAGTTTTCCATAGTATATTACTGACATTGTTTGCATATGATGAATAATCAGCCTGGTTAACTTGGCTATGGAAAAAAATAGCATATCATCAAGTATCTTTAGAATTATTAATGATGCAGTGTACAAAGTTTGATAATTACTGTCCACCTGGCAACACTGATCTGCATCCTGGTAATCTCTGGTATGTTTTTTAACATTATGTGCTGAAGGTAAAAGTTTCTGTTGATATGCTATCCAAACCTTGCTTGTCTTTTATGTTCTTTAAGATTTCTTTCTCAGGTATATATATAAATAAATTCAGTACAGGGTTGGAGGGCAGTAATACAGTGCAATGATGATGTGCACTACTGGAAAAGGCTCCTGACTGGGAGAAAAGAGATAAGAGTCACTCCTAAAAAAATAAGGCACTACCTCTCAAACACCAATATCTGTAGTCATCGTGAGGAAGCTCACTCATGAAAACATGATGTCATCATTACAATCCATGATGTAGCTGTTCTTGGATACAAATGATTTCTTGCCCTGTGGTCTAAACGTTGCTAAACATCAATATTTCAACTTATCCAGAGGTGAAGATTCTCAAAAATTACACAACTGCTACAAATCAAGCTACAAACTTTTCAGAACCACCTTTCAGTCCTCTGACAGTCATTTGATACGTACATGATACATTCATAGTGTTTGTTTAACTAACCATACAAATCACCAACTTCACCTCCTTCAAACACAAGCCTTACTCTGCTCTGACCTCACCTTCATCAAAGTTCATTTCAAACAATAAAATTTTTGGTCATGGTAAAACATAAATGTACAGTTTATGTTAAGTTTCATAAATCCTGGTCTCTACATTGCGATCCACTTGAACTTGTCATATACCATTCATAAGCTCATATACTGTTACTGTATATACTATATATATATATATACTGCATTAGTAATTGTGGCTGCAGTCAACCTAGGCCACAAATGAACATGCAGAGTGGAGTGCAGCATGGGTTCAGCTGGGACACACTAAAGGTTTGTCTACACAGGAGGCATGTCACGTGGTGCAATGGCTCACTTTTCACTCACACTTTAACATATTTTTATGTTTCAGGTCTATTTTCCTCCATTGTATGTGCAGAAATACAGTATTATGTATTCGGTTCTGAGCACTGAAAAAATGCAAGTGACCTGCACTCAGCACTGATTCTGTGTAGACAGTGATGAAGGACTGAATAGGGATGGGTAAGATTTTAATGGTAGTACTACTTTTACTGATACTGCTTATCTTATCTGAAAATGAAAATTAATTTCTGAACAGTTCAGATGATGCTTGGTCCATTTCAGATTAAATTTAACAATAAACCCAGAACTATCAGCTGGATAATGGTTACTTTTCATCATTAACTAATGTTCGTATAATGTAATTAACTCTGTGTGTGGGCTCCAGGCTGCAGCATACAAAACACAGCTGGAGCCTGTCTGTATATGTGACAGACTTTCACTTGATGTTTCCAGAGATCACACATGTTTCCACTACTCCACTTGAAAAAGACTGAACCACACTTTGAATGTTTAGTTCTCTCCACCAGCGTAACTAAGAACAGAGTCTCTCTGTTTTCTTAATTTCTCCGGGACCATGAGCAGAGCCGATAACATCAGAGCTT